GCAACGTTTCGATGAAGTCTCATTCATCATCTTCAGGCTTCTGTCTTTGGCTCTGTGCTTCTCAGAGTGAAGCATCTGAGTGAAGTCACTCTGAGAAGCACAGAGCCGAAGACAGAAGCCTGAAGATGATGAATGAGACTTCATCGAAACGTTGCCTAGATACTTCGAATCTTACGCGGGAGAAAACCCGAACAACCAAAGATCCACATATATATATATATGTATATTTTGTTCCTGAAGAGGGTTAGCGTGTGCTCACCGTGATTGCAGCAGATGCCGGAAGCAGCGCACATTCCTCCGTTGCCCCCGCATGGTTTCCTTCCAGACTCGCAAGGGGTTGGGAGAAAATTTTCCTCTTGGCAGCGCAAGGTCTCTGCTGTGCCAAAGAAGCAACCGAGCTCTTCTCCGCAACAGATGTTGGGGCCGAAGCAGTGGCCTCGGTTCCTAGGTCCGCAGGAAATGCACTAGAGAGAGAGAAACACGAACATCCGAATGTTTAGTAAATACAATTTAGTAAATGTTGAGTATATGTCGCTGTCCTCATCTGGCAGACAGCAGCTTACAGAAAGCTACCATGGTATGATGGAAATAAAAATCTGAATAATGTAGCCCAGTGTATCAATGTTCCGACTGATGGACCCAACCGAAGCACGGACGATCGAGATGATCCAACCTCAGAAGGCAAAACTTTATTGAGTACATCAATTCGGCACCTATGGAGGCAAAACCAGCCCTAGCTAATTCCTGCACAAACCCACATATAATCAGAATATAAGATTATCCCTCTCCCTTTTTAGAGCAGGTCACATTGTCCAATGGAGTCTCTTTGTATTGCTATGAGAAAAAGCCTTTGACCTTGGCGGACCCCTGCTGAAGTGTCCTTGGCTCTCACGGCTCGGCTTCTTGATGTCTGGAGCATACATTCCATCTCATCCTTCCTTCCCCCCTGGTTCGTTGGCAAGCTGCGAAGTGATAATGGTTGCAACAGCAAAACATGGTTCAATGTTGACCTCGTGGTTCTCAACCTTTTCTTCAACATGGACCTTCCTTAAATACCTTGTGGCCACAGGTCATGACCACAACTTAGGATTTAAATCATAACATTTCTTCAAACCTTCGCAGACCTTTAATGATGACATCACAGCCTGCAACAAGTCCACGAGAACCAATGATTTAGCTTAAATGTAATCTCCGGCCCATGGCCCACTGGTAGGCACTGAGCTATTAGCAACCGAGCTGTGGAAACGGCGGTGAGTATACATGCAGATCCCCATTTGTGCGAACAGAAGGCGAGCACATACAGGTATGCTCCATTTGTGTGAGCGGTGGGCGCACGGGCACGCCACTTGTGAAAATTGAGCTGTGTGTATGCACACACTTGCCAACTGCTCACATGGAACCATCCTTTCTCTCTCCCGCCTCCCCGCCAGTCCCTATAGCCGAAAAGGTTGAGGAACTCCGGAATAGAAAACAGAGGCAATGAAAGCAGCCAAAATTTAAAACATGTTGCTCTTTTAAAAACAGGAGATCCTGTCTTAAACGTGTCAGAAGTGTGAGTTTTTTCAAGTGGTTTCATAGCAACTTCAAATGGGTGGACTTCAACTCCCAGAATTCCCCAGCCAGCCCGTGCGCCGTATGACATGATGGCGAACCTTTTTGTTGTGGTGTGCTGAACGTGAGCGCGTGCCGGCACCCACAATGCAATAAGCCCTGCTCCCCTGTGCGTGTGTGCACAACTACCCCCTTATCTGCACTGTGCATGCGCGCACCTCCCAACTGATTTTCAGCCTGTTTGAGGCCTTTTTCACCCTCCCGGAGGCTCAAGGGAAGCCTCCGCAGTCTCAGGAGGCCAAAAAAATGGGCCCATTTTTCGGCCTCCATGGGCTGCAGAGGCTTTACTTGTGCTCTTGGGAGGGCAAAAATGGTCTCCCCCAGGCTCCAGAGGCCCTCCAGAGGCTGAAAACAGGCACTTCTGGTATTTCCGGAAGGCCCATTTTTCGGCCTCCTAAGGCTGCAGAGGCTTCCCTTGAGCCTCAGGGAGGCTGAAAACGGCTTCAAACAGGCCGAAAATCAGCTGGGAGGTGCGTGCGCAGTGCAGGTAAATTTGGATTGGGCTCACATGCCTACACAAATGGCTCCACATGCCACCTGTGGCACGTGTGCCATAGGTTCACCATCGGCCATATGAAATGGAGTAGAAGTCCACACATTTGAGCTGAGTAACAATGTTCTAGGTCTAGGAGGTTAAAGACCTTCCATCAGCCAACAGAGCCTGTTGTTTGACAGGACTTGCCATATAATATTTGGCTTTTCAGTCCTCTTCCGATCTTTTCCTGTAAAACTCAAAAATATATCCATTAAATGAACAATCAGAAAGTTATAAATGCTGGTTTAAGCCACCACCACCCTGCACTCCTCAGCTTAGCAAAATATGTGGAACCAATTAACTATTTTTGAGATGTGGAAAAAGAATTTTTTTTTTTGCACATGTTAAATTCCACTGGATTTTACCTGTCAATTACAGGTAGTCCTCGACTTATGACCACAATTGAGCCCCAACTTTCCTTTGCTAAGCCAGACAAGTGAGTTTTACCCTGTTTTATGATCTTTCTTGCAGCAGTTGTAAAGCGAATCATTGCAGTTGTTAAGTTAGTAATACGGTTGTTAAGTGAATCTGACTTCCCATTGCAAAGCATCTGAATGTTGATCATGTGACCATGGGGATGCTACACCAGCCGTTAAGTGTGAATGAAGGCCGTAAGTCACTTTTTTCAGAGCTGTTGTAACTTTGAACAATCACTAAATAAATGCTTGTTATTTGAGGGATACCTGTATAACAACTATAATTGACAAAAGAATCACTTCTCCTCGGTAGATGAAGGTAGAAATATCCTTTGAGCCAATAATGGGATTCAAATAATTTAACAACCGGTTCTCTGCCCTAATAATTTCTTCCAACAACCAGTTCACCAAACTGCTCATAAACTTAACAACCAGTTCTCCTGAACCGGTGTGAACCAGCTGAATCCCATCCCTGCTTTGAGCCTGTGAAATAATTGCACTATTAAACAGACTGGCTAGTTCACTATGATTTGCCTTCATCTTTCAATTCCGACCCCTTTTATCAATATTCCTCTTGGCTCTGGGAGAATTCAGTCTCTTGTCTATCAAGACTATTCTTAGCTGTCAGAGGTAGCCAAGAAAGAGATGAGTCCATCAGTTCCGAAATGGGGCTACCTCTGTACTCATAACTCTGCCTCCAATTCCCCAGGTACTACCTACCTTTCTGACTTCCATGTCCAGAACGGACCGCTTCCCTCCAATGGGGCAGTTCTGGATGTAGCAGGCAGAAGAAAAAGCGAGCAGCGAAAATAAGCAGAAGGTCAACATGGAGTACGACATCTTGGCACCACCGTTGGTCGCCTTGTTTATAGAAATGCCCACAAAAACCTTCCCTGGGTTTCTTCTTGGCAGCTACCGGCATTTATACTGCTGAGAGCTCTGCGTAGGGAGGGCAGCAGCCATGTTGTCCGTGCCTCTTAAAAAGCACAAGAGATTGCTGTCCATGCCGGAGGTCTCCTCTAATATGCCGAGGTCGCAGGCGTGAGGTCAGTCAAATATGGACAATTTGCGGTTGTGCGTTTTCCCTCCGAAGTGGAGGAAAGAGAGAGAAAAGGCCAAGACTCTATTAGTCACGGACATCATTGGAGGACGACAAGCAACTGGATATTTTTCTTCGTAACTTTCAAGAGTCCTCGATGGAGGAAACCAGTTTCTGGTAATCCTCGACTACAATTGAGCCCCAAATTTCTATTGCTAAGCGAGACGGCTGTTAAGTGAGTTTGGCTCCATGTTGCGGCCTTTCTTGCCACAGTGGGATGAGCAACTGGATAGTTTTCTCCATACTGCAGAAAAAAACAATGGCTACCAACCTGCCTTCAATGGAGGACCTGTATCCTGCATGAGTCCAAAAGAGGGCGGTGAAAATATCTACACACCCCTCACATCCTGGACATTAACTGTTTCAACTCCTACCCTCAAAATGATGCTATAGAGCCCTGCACGCCAGAACAACTAGACACAAGGATAGTTTCCCCCCCAATGACGTCACTCTACTAAACAAATAATTCCCTCAGCACTGCCCAACTATTTACTAAGTCTGCAGTACTATTAATGTTAATCTTCTCATCACTCCTTATCGCCCATCCCCTCCCACTTGTGACTGTATGGCTGTAACTTTGTCGCTTGTATCCTTACGATTTATATTGACGGTTTCCTAGTATGATTTGATTGCTTATTGTACCCTATGACTATTATTGTTGGACCTGATGATTCTTGACGAATGTATCCTTTCTTTTTATGTACACTGAGAGCATTTGCACCAAAGACAAGTTCCTTGTGGGTCCAATCACACTCGGCCAATAAAGAACTCTCTTCTCTTCTCTTCATTCCATTATTCCATTCCATTCTTTCAAGAGTTCTCAATGGAGGAAACCACTTAGCACCTTCCTTAATGAGAGTTCAGCTTCACCGCGGTCTCGAGTTGGGATTTTTGGTTCCCAAAATTCTTAGCTAATGGATGGAAAATGAACAAGGAGAGATTCAGCCTGGAAATAAAGAGAAACTTTATGACAGGGAGAACAATCAACGCATGGAACAGAAGTTGCCTTCGGAAGTTGTGGGAGCGCCATCCCTTGAGACTTTCAAGAAGAGATTGGACTGCCATTTGTCAGAAATGGTGTAGGGTCTCCCGCTTGGGCAGGGGATTGGACTAGATGACCTACAAGGTCCCTTCCAACTCTGATTATCTGTTATCTGTTAACCAGCATGACTGAATAACAGAAGAACATAAGCCATCTATCTAATCCAGCAGTCGGTTTTTCCAGCGGCCAACCAACTGCACCAGGAAGCCCATCTATCTCTCAGCAGTTGGCTTCCAACAGCCCTTGATCTCCAGAACTTCCATGAATTGGTCTACTCATTTTTGAAGCCAATCAAAGCTGCAGCTAACACCCCATGTCCTGGTCAAAAATCCTTTCCTTGGGAATTCTAGAGCCATTTGTGCAACTGTATCCTATTCATATATCCGCTATTTCCTCCACAAAGTGTGTGTTGCAGACTCCAATCTATCATGCTGTCTATCCAACCAGGTGTAGTTCGGTGCTAAAATGAATGAATGAATGAATGAATGAATGATTTTTTTTAATTGGCCAAGGGTGATTGAACACACAATGAATTTGTCTGGTGCATATGCTCTCAGTGTACATAAAAAGAAACGATACGTTCGTCAAGATGCAGAGGCGCTAGGTCTCCAAACTTGGTAACTTTAAGACTTGTGGACTTCAACTCCCAGAATTCCTCAGCCAGCATAGCGGCAGAATATTATATTTCCCCAAAGGAGAAATGGAGAAACGGGCTCTTAAAGGCAGGAAGCAGCCCCCTGTCTTTCACCTCCAGTGATGGGATTAAAATTTACACCCTTCTCCATCCAAATTTTAAGAACAGGACGTGACCCTTTAGGACATAGCTGGCTGGAGAATTCTGGGAGTTGAAGTCCACAAGTCTTAAAGTGTCCAAGTTTGGGGACCCTTGCTCTAGAAAGCGTGCAGAGTGCAGAGAATGTCGATGAATAGCAGTCTGGAGGTTAATGGAGGTTAAACTATATGACGAAGCGTTGAGGGAAATAGGTATGTCAAGGCTACAAAGGGAAGGATTAGATAGGACATGATAGCAGCCTTCCAATATT